GGTCGAGGCTGCGGTGGCCGGGAGCGGCCACTGCACTCCAGTCTGGGCGACCGAGTGAGACTCCAACTCAAAAAAATAAAATAAAATAAAATAAAAAGAAAACAGGTACATGAAAGGACAGTTTCCCGGGTGCAGTGGCTCACACCTATAATTCCAGCACTTTGAGAGGCCGAGACAAGAGGATCACCTGAGCCCAGGAGTTAGAGACCAGCCTGGGCAACATGGTGAGACCTAGTCTCTACAATAAACCAAAAAATTAGCCGGGCATGATGGTGTGTGCCTGTAGTGCCAACCACTTGGAAGGCTAAGGAGGAAGGATCACAGGAGCCCAGCAGGTCGACGCTGGGGTGGCCATGAGTGTGCCACTGTACTCTAGCCTGGGCGACAGAGTGAGATTCCGATTCAAAAAAAAAGACCGATGTAGGATGGTGAAAAGGTCACAGACAGTAAAACCAGGTGAAGGGACAGATGGTGACTGGGAAGGGTACTCCTCCAGACGGGTGGTGATGTGGAAGGCTTCAGATGAGGAGGCACTTGGCCCAATCCCTGAACGCCCAGGAGTCAGCTATGGGGAGAGCCGAGGGAATGTCTTTCCCGCAGCAGGGAAACAGGTGCGAAGGTCACCCAACGTGACATGTTCTGAGGAACACACAAAAGGGCAGTGCAGTGAGGCTGATCGAGTGAGTACGAGGGAGCATGGGATAAGCTGGCGACCCGTCAGGGGCAGTGAAAAATACTCTAAAACCATCATGTGTGGTGGCAGAACCTGACATGACCCGTATAAGCTATTTATATTCATATCCCTTTTAGTATGAATGTTCCTGTCTTTGCTGAACAAACCAATTTTTTTTTTGAGTTGAGGTCTCACTGTCTCCCGGGCTGGAGTGCAGTGGCAAAATCATAGCTCACCGCAGCTTCAACCTCCTGGGGCTCAAGTGATCCTTTTGCCTCAGCTTCCCAAGTAGCTGGGACTACAGGTGTGTACCACCACCCTGGCTAATTTTAAGGGTTTTTTTTTTTTTTTTTTTTTAAAGAGATGTGGTCTTGCTATGTTGCCCAGGCTTGTCTTGAACTCCTGGGCTCAAGCAATCCTCTCGCCTCGGCCTCCCAAAGTGCTGGGATTACAGGCATGAGCTATCACGCCCGGCCTGTTGTAAAAATATGAATGTGCTTAATTCTGGGATGCTTCCCAGACCTCGCTGGCAGGGTAAGGTAACACACGGTATGTGAAATATTCCTTCTAACAGCCAAAAAGTTCTGAATTCTAACCCACTTCTGGGCCCGAGAGTTTCAGAAATGGACTGTGACCTTGCATGTGAGTGATTGCTTTAGGCCAGTGAGGATGCCCCAAAGGACACGGAGGAAGGGCTGGTCTTCCAGGAGGTGGCTCTGGGTCCCCCAGCAAGGGGGTTGCGCAGGAGTCCCGGGACACTCACCTCTTATAGTAGGCCAGCTCCTCCTGCAGCAGGAACACCTTGGACTTGAGCTCGTTCCGCTCGTGCAGCACGTCCCGCAACTCCTGCAGCGTGAACCGGGGGCGGTTGGGATCCTTGAGCTCCATGGCTGCCTTCTCCGCATCTGAGATACACTCCTCCCCACCTGGCTCCGTCTGGGGGAGGCAGAGATGCTGATGAATTCCTGGCAGCCGCCACCCATGCCCACTCCATCCTGATGGAGCCGCCGAGGGCGCTGTTCGCTATTTCCGGCGTTCACAAGCGGCCTCTGCTCACATTCTGGGCAGCTGCTCGAGGTGGGAGCCAGCGGGCACCTGGCCTGTGTTGGCCTCAGCAGCCACCCTGAGGGTCACAGCTCCCAGCCCCACGCAGGGTGTTATCACAAGCAACAGCAGAGAAGACAACCCCTCCTGAGCCTCCACCCTCAGAAACCTGCCGCTTTCCCCTTCTGCCCAGGTCTTCTTACTAAGACCACTGGTAATTTGGCGAGAATGGCTGGAATTGCAGCCTACACACAGTTCTTTTTTTCTTTTTTTTGAGTCAGAGTCTCACTTGGTCGCCCAGACTGGAGTGCAGTGGCCGCTCCCAGCCACCGCAGCCTCGACCTGCTGGGCTCCGGCGATCCTTCCACTTCAGCCTT